TTAATTATATATCTTACACATTGACCGATATTTTCGTTCAAAAGTCAACTATAGGCACTGGGGTCCACATATTTAGTACGTAGGGGAGTAAACATTTTTAGTTCGATTTAGACAATTTTTGGTCACATCATGGTTTCAGTTTGCGAGAGAGAGAGTGGTCCGATTACGCCCATCTGCAATACCAACCGTCTTACGGTACCAAGAAACATGTGAACCAAGTTTCATAAAGATATCTTAATTTTGTACTCAAGTTATAGTTGAACAGACGGACGGACAGACAAACATCCGGATTTCAACTTGTCTCTTCATCCTGATCATTTATATATACATAACCCTATATCTAACACGATTAGTTTTAGGTGATACAAACAACCGTTAGGTGAACAAAACTATTATACCCTGTATAAACATGTTGCGAGAGTATAAAAATGGTTTACTATTTATTCTATTTACAAACACAATAAGTTTTAAGATTTTTGATTTATGTTAAAAAATGGATTCTCCTTCTCAATTACTTCACACTCAATCGCTAATCTGACGTCAAAATAAATGTTTCAAAGAACTGAAATGAAAAATTTGAGAAGCACTGGTTCTGACACAGTTTGCTTGAACAGTCAAATTTCAAAAGTTGCTTTCGCACTATCAAATGCACTTATTTGTCAAATTGATGTGAATGTCATTCTGCATATGAAGAAATGGTGTTCAAGAGTTGAAAATGAGTTTTTGAAAACAAAAAAATCAAATCACAGTATGATAAATTTTGGTTGTCATAAACTTTCACTGTAAATTGACTTGCAAAGAGATTAATTTTTAACGCCTCCATTTTTCCCGTATATAACTGACCTGGTTTACTGCGGCGGTTAATTCCTCAAGAGTTGTTCCATTTTTACTTCAGATTACAACTCATTTCTATCTGTTTTTTTAAATGTTAAGGCTCTATTAGCAAGTAGTCAGTAATTTTGTAAACTGATTCGTAAATGACTATCGAATAGCACTCCAAGCCGTTCCGCATGAGTGCCCATTGGACAGTGTCCAGTGAGAACTCCTACCATAGCGGCGAGATGCACTTTGCTCAGGGCGAGAAGTTCCCCCGATCTTCTGCGATCCACTCTTGGCCAGAAGGATCTCGCGGTCGCACAGGAGTTGGTCGTCGACCAGCGTCTGCTGAGTGCACGCGAGGTCCATTGATCCAGAGCTAGAACGCAAGACGTTAATGGAGATCCAACTCGATCCCATTCCGATGTGACCGGGGCAATAGCTGGATAGCTCATCGGCTTTGAAGTTTCCAGCGATTCCGCTGTGTCCAGGCACCCAAACGAGGAGCTCCTTACAGAAAACCCCCCTCCAACCTTCCCTCCATCCGTGAAAAAGCTCACCACGCCTCTTCTCCAGCGGCTTCTTCCCATCCACATCTCCCCCGTCGGAATATGAGCGGAGAAAGAACCGCCTCGAAATAGAAAATTTTCCGGAATGCAGCTGAAGGCGGAAAGAAGTAGACACAGAACACCACCCTAGGTAAGAGTCCCCACCTTTTCCTTTTAACTCCTTTGCAGCAATATAAGGCGACCGATGCCTTCTTAACTCTCTCCTAAATGTTTGGCCTCCAGGAAAGCTTTGTATCAAGGATAAGCCCTAGGTATTTCAGTTTATCAACAGGTTGCAGATGTGAACCCCCGAAAGAGGGGAGAGGCACATTCCTAGTAAATAAAACCATTTCGGTTTTACTTGGGTTGACGGCTAGGCCCTTTCTATTTGCCCAGCTGGATACCACGTTTAGGTACCGTTCGGTGAGCTCGTAGACAGTATTTAGAAATTTCCCCTTAACCAAAAGAACCACATCATCTTCTCGAGATTACTTTGTTTTAATATTTAAGTTTTATAAGTTTTGAGATCAATGAAAACCTTGAATGAACGGACGTTTCGACCAATTAATGCGCGTTGGAGTGAGAGTTGGAACTAAAAACAGAAACAAAAATAAAATATATTTTTCAACAACAAATCGTATTATTATTGTAATTGTTTCTAGTGTAACCTTACTGAACAATTGGAGTTCTTACAAACTTATGATTCTATAGCAGATATCATTTTTTTTCTTATGAAACATGTGTAAATTTGCCGTCTTAAAAAAATTCAATTCTTGGTATTTTCATAATTTTTGGGAAATTCAAACATTCAAAAATGTCTACAAGAGGTAAGATATAGTATAAACTTACATAAGTATGTAGTTATACATGTGTATCTAAATTCTCACACACCTAAAAAATTATACAGATATATCATTCATAAATACAACAAATCGCCGATGCATATATGTATGTACATTATTTCGAATCAACGAAAATATTGAAGATAATTAAATGGAATCAAAACAAAGCAGATGCTTAAAAGAAAAACAACACAAAGTCAAATGAAATAAATATTATTAAGTTTGAAAAACAAAAGCACATAAGAAATTTTAAAGGGAAAATATTTTTTTAGGCGGTTTTAAAACTGGCTGGAGTGTTACAGACGAGGTAACACGACAAAACGGCAACTCAGCAAACGTGTGCGACAAGACCGTGCCTTTGACGAAGTGGCCGCAAGTGTTGACGCGATGATTCACTAAGAGAAATAAAGAACATAATCTTTACGTTGCGTTTTCTACACAAACAAATTTGTTGTGTAATTTATTCCGAGTATGAATGTATATTTTCTTATCATTTACGGCGTAGCAAATTGAACAAATTTTTGAGTTTAATGTACTCGTACGTATGTATATAAATCTGTATACTATATCTACACATACATATGTGCTTATGCAAATTAAATAAATTATTAAGGTATTGATAATTTAAAGTAATTTTATTGCGGTTTAAACAAATGGTTTTTCAAAAGAATTTATTGGTATGAAATTTTTGTGTGATTTAAATTCGAGATTTGCGTATTTTACAATTCATTCATAATTTATTTGCGCATAATTCAACAATAAAAGTACCTTACCACAATATATGTATTTAAGTATTTAATTACTTAGTACTTGTAGTACACAGGCATTTGTATATAAATAATAATATTTTTTTCAATGAGTTCATAAATTTGAATTCATAATTAAATGGATCAATTTATAACGTATAGGTATACACAAATTTCAAGTTCATATGTAGGTATGACCTTCGTATTTATATACATTGTATCCGGATGCATTGCTATGGTTGATAATATGTATATATGGTAATTGCAATATTGAAAAAAAGACAAAATACAAAAAACTATTGTTTTTTCAGTAAACTTTTTTGTATACTTTAGGGTGAGTCAAGACCTAACCTATTAAATTCACGGGCTAAAATAAACTCACATATATGCAGAGAAAAAAAATTGTTAGCTTAATTTTAAGCTGTGACGACGAGCATACGAAATTTCCCATGTAAATAACACGTAAAAAAACTGTTCATTAAAAGTACCATTTTATTTTTTTGGATTACAAATTCTTGTAGAGTATAAAATTTCCTTTTTTTCGATTAAAAAATTCATATATTTAAAAGCTTTGAAAAGTGACAGAGATCAAAAACGAATCAGAAATGTATAAATTTAACAAAAAAACGTAAATTAAAATAAAATAAAATAGTTAAAAATATAGTTTATAGTTATGCTCTACGATTAGAAGAATCCACAGAATCGGTCCAAAAATAATGTTGAATTCTATCCGGCTTGTTAACATGTGAAAAATATGCATGTGAACTTTACACAAGGTAAATTGATTCCACATATAAAGTATACTTGTCCCTTCGTCGACTGCCCGTCTGTCTTTATAAGCATACGCAAGCTCGTCCCTCAGTTTTTGAGAAATCGATTTTATTTTTTTCCCAAACAGACCCACTGCAGCACATAGCTGCAATACAAACTGACCAATCCAATCCAATCCTTGTATGGAAACTTTTATATTTGATAGGATATCTACGAATCGTTTAGATATGTCCACTATAGCATGCTGACATACAAACTGACCGATCAAAATCAAGTTCTTGTAACAAAACTAGAACCTGTGATGGTTATTATAGCTTCGGTGCAGTCGTATTTCTTGTTTTTTATTTTATTTATTTATTACACTGTACAGCACTCGGCTGGATACTGGACCAAACCAAAAAAGTTCAAGATATTGAGTCATACAAAAATTTAATTTCTCCGCTTTTTCGAAGTTAGCCTCCAACATCCAAATATTTGCCACCGAATTTTGAAATGGAGCTTATATACAGAAAAATGTGGTTTTTGTCGTATAGTGTTACTACAATTTTTTTTAAAACATATCTCTAATTTCCAAGCACATATGTACTATATCAATATATTTTCTTGAAATTTAATAAGTGTACTTTGGACTTGATACACTATCAGACAATGTCCATAATGTAGAGGATGTGATATTATAAATACTATATAGTTGGTATATTCGTAATTGCATATCACTTGTGTATCAAGCATGATTCATCAAAATAATAAATAAAGCACCTAGGTGTTTGTATTTATAAGTAGGAAATATTCGATTCAGTTTTCTCACCAATTTATTGATATTCACTGTCTTGTATATTTTACTTTACTTGGACGGAATATGCAAATTTTGCAACAGAAAAGTAGAAAAAAAATATTATAATTATATTTATCATCTTCTGCGTAACAATAGGGTTCAGAGGTCTAACCTTATAGACGTCAGTGGTATTCTTAGGATTTATCTAATATCAGTGATTTAGGCAGGCAATTTCTGTCTATACTAGAAGCGGATATTCATTAACAGAAACCACAGGTCATACCGTTTACTCTACTCTAGACCCCTAGTCTCTTCTTCTTCGTATTATTATAAACGAACCCTCCATATTGCCTTAATCTATCATATTTGCCTCGCATTGTCAGATCAAACTTATCATAAGCTAAACTAAGTATAAACATATTATATGTATAAGACGCAGTAACTTTACAAACATATTTTCGGCTTGAGTTACTAATGACAATAACTTTCTTTTCATCTCCAGACACCGTTGAATGAGATTTTCGGACCGATTTACCGCATACCAACTACGACGAGATCAATTGAAATTAAATTAGCACCAAAGACTCATTTCCGTTTGGAAAAGGATCTTTTTGTAAATAATTCACTTATGAATAGTTTCACGATTGTCGGTACGTACAGTAACGGTGAACAAGTGGAGATCACAACGGGCGCTTTCCCAGGTGATGCTGGCACCATGGGGCCATATCCAGAAATTCTGATGCAAAATGTATTTTCGGTGGTGGTGCGAGAAGGCGCTTTTTCAGGTAACTGTTATTATTTTTTGTTCTTTTGTTATTGGAATTTTATTATATCGATTTTTTGTTTTAGGCAATAAAAAATTTACTGTACGCAACAGTAACGATTTAATTTTGTATTCAAACGCTTTCAAAAAAGCCGAAATTAATGGAAAATTTTTTGGCGTAGCTGATTTGCGTATCGAGGAGAAGGCATTCAATTCAGCCGACGCCAAGGTGAGTGGGTTTAAAGAGCGAAACTTTAATTTGTGTCTTATTCATAGGTAGTCAAGATCTCCCATTCAATAGCAATACTTTTTACACCTCTCTATCAAACTATTTGTTAAACATTCTTGAATAGGATGCTTAGATACTATATTGATTGCCCCAATTATTTTTGCATGTGGTTTCTAACAGTATAAATTATTGAAATATTTCGACCACTAATGGAGTTTAACCTACTTCTAATATACCGTAGCAAAACGAACCAATTGTTAACCAATTCTTCTTCCTTTGAATCGTGGAACACTCATTGGGCGATATTAAGTACAACAATTATGTTTATTGTCATACAGCAGGGTTAAAAAAACCAAAGTCTCAAGACAAACGGGCCTAGCAAACGCCGCCGAGAGAACTTGAGTTTATATTCAGTGATCCATCAAAAATTCCAGAAATCTATTTGAAGCGTATTTTTAACAACAAAAAAAAACCATTCTTTATAAACTGGAGAAATCTATAATATGGTACACCATCCGATCAAACTGTGAAATAGAGAGAGGATTATTTTATGATGAAACGAACTAACCTATCTATTATATCCTGATATCTATAGGAGCATTAGTCTTACGAGGTGTGTTCAGAAATTAACGGGCATTTTAAAATTTTAAATTTTGCCGGTTTGAAGTGTTTAATTGTTCAACGATAAAATTTTCAGCTGTATTCCCTGCTTACTTTTTCTGTAGCAGCCGCTAAGGTTAGACGTGTTTTTATAAGCTTGGCGATTTTCGTGAAAATCTTACTCTTTGTTGCTTGTTATATGAAAATCGCTAAAAGAGCTATCAGAAAAATCGAGTTCGAAAAGTGTTTCGACAATTGGAAGAAGCGCTGAATAAAATGTTTTTTTTTTGTTTTAACTTTTTGAACACACCTCGTATATTATTTACTTCAGTTTGGGCCACACTAAATTTGTTCCCTTCACTTCAAAGAAATCTTAGAAAACTTTAGAGGAGTTTAATCGGGCACAGTGTTAAAGACCACACATAATATTAATGGCCAATCAAAAAGAAAAACAATATATATAAATATTCAAGCAATGATTATATCGAAAATCTCATTCAAATTTCAGTTATACATCGAGAATTCACATATCGACAATATCTATCGTTTCGAAGCCTCACTACGGGAGATAAAATTCAACAATTGCACCATTAACACCATCAATAGTGGTTCCTTCGATGTCAATAACATCTTAAATATTATATTCGAAAATAGCAACATTGGCGTAATCAAATCACGCTCGATTACGGAAAAGGTGGGTAAACTATATTTTCACTTTAACATGGCACAACACTTTCTAAACCTTGAACTCGAACCATTTTAGTTGTACAGTAGGCACGTGTCCTTTATTGGCGGCGTTATTGGCTACATTGAGGGCGAAGCCATACATGGCAGTGGCATCGGCGAGCTGATTTTGCGTAACAACAGGTACTTAACTGGAAAATACAATACAATTTGAAAATTGCATTAATGTCCTTATCCCTTAACAGTATTGACACCATCAACGAGAATGCCATACATGTGAATACCATCAATGCCACCATCAAAGACAATCACATCAAACATCTCGGTCAGAATTGGTTGCGTATCAAGGAATGGTCGAATATTGTGATTGTGAAAAATATTTTTGGTGATTTCGGTGGCATTATAGTGGAGGAAACCAAGGAACCAGTCGATTGCCGCTTCGAAAGTAACTCCGTAACCAAACCGAAGCCAGGCAGTTTGAATATACGAAATCGTCATTGCATATTGCGTGAGATCATTGTCGATCTCCCATGTCGCTGCAATCTCGAGTGGCTGGCCGCATATTCTGAACGTGATTTACGTTCGGAAATCTATTGCACGATCGATCGAAAATTGGGTGTATGTTTCAATGCGACCACCTTCAATATGCAGCGTTACGAGCATGAAGTGTGTGATGAAAAGAAGACAACATTAGATTGTGGCGCCAATCGTAAACTCAAGAAGGTGAATGGTGAATTCTTTACAAACGAAGAGCTCGAGCGACAGGCTACACAATTCGTACATATTATCTATCTCGGCACTGCCATTGTATTGGCTGTCGTGCTACTAATTATATTAGTGTTGATATTGCGGTGCTTTTGTCAACAGCGTAAGGGCAGTCGTGGTGCTAGCGCGTCACATCATCATCGACATGAATTCACACAAGGCGAACGTGAAATAATCGTGCGCGCCCAAGATATAATAGAGAAGAGACATCCACAGATACAACCACAAATCAAACGTTTGTGCGACGAACTGTTGCAAACGAATCGCACCGAGAAGCAATGCATTAAAACTATCACGAAAATCGAGAATCTACTAAATGAAGTGGAACGTTGTCAGGATCTCAATGCATTCTGCAGAGTATTGGTTCAACATCTGCAGCCGCAATCGCAACCGCTGCAACTGACAACGAATGCCATCTGCAGGACGGAAAGTTTTACACGTATACAACGAGAGAATTACACAGGACCACACTATGCTGGCTGCATTGATACGGCTCACATAATAGCCAGCAGAGAGGCGGCGTGTTTAGAGCGCGAGCGTGAACGCGAACGCGAAAGAGAACGGGAACGCATCAATGACATAGACAATGGACGCAACGCTGAACCGCTTAATATACCCAATGAACCCTTCTACGAAGAGTTGGGTCAACCGTTGCTGCCTGATTATGCATCGCCAGCGGATGGTCGTGTTTATGCGACACCACATGATCTAGCAATGGGTATAAATGCCGAACTGGAGTATGCGGAGCCCGTCAATAATCGAGGTAAATTATTGTACTAGCATCAACAAATAAAAAACAACAACTGGCACGCACTTTACACAAAAGAAGAACAAGTACTGCACCATTGTGTGTCTCCAGCACCAACAGCAATCCGAACACATAGAAATTTTAAGTGATTTTAAAATCGTTCAATTATTTAACCTTTGCCCGATATCCTTTTCATTACATTGTAGGCTGTGAAGTTATTACATTTTGAATAATCTGTATATATTAGATTGAGTATTGGAATTCGGCGGTGAAAATCACCATTTTGGTGTAAACTCAAGCTCTTTAAGCTTTGGTGAAAACTCAAGCTCTAATATTGTTTACAGGCGAAAGTTTTATTAAGTGCATATGTATTCATATAAGAAAAAATTCGAATTTAAGCGTTAGTGTCTCAGGTAGTGAAACTTTAAGCTTAAGCTTTTCATGCAGGGAAAGCCTTCATTTCATGTAACTTTCACATACTCAAAATGGATAAGAGCCTTTTCACACACATACTTGTATGTATATGTGTATTACCACTTATATGAAAGCTTAAACTCACGTTTTTGAATTTGTGTTTGGGCACGTGTGAAACATGCTAAATTGTATTATATTATATTGGCAACTAAGTAATTGCGGATTTTTTCATGGAACTAAATAACTTTATTTTGTAATGTATTGCCTATTTTGATCAATGACCTTTTGCCATCTTTCACGTTCATAAAACTTCTGGTTTTTATTAGAAAAAAACTGAATCAGGTACGGTTTGACATCATCGTCATTATTGAAATTTTTACCATTCAAGGAGTTTTGTAAAGATCGAAACAGAAAGTAATCCGATGTGCCAAGGTCAGGACTATATGGTGGATGTGGCAAAACATCCGAACCAAGCTCCAATAATTTTTGCCGAGTAACCAAAGATGTTTGTGGCCTTGCATTGTCATGATGGAATACAACACCTTTTCGATTTATCAATTCGGGCCGCTTTTCTTCAACTGCATTGCTTAATTTCGTTAGTTGTTCAATGTAGACAACAGAATTGATCGTTCGGTTGGGTGGTAAGAGTTCAAAGGAGACAATTCCTTTATAATCCCACCATACTGATAACAAAACCTTCTTTTGATGAATACCAGCTTTTGATGTTGTTTGAGCTGGTTCACCTGCCCTGCTCCACGATTTTTTCCGCTCGATATTGTTGTAAACAACCCATTTTTCATCGCCAGTTATCATTCGTTTTAAAAATAGATCATTTTCAATACGTTTCTTTAGCAAATCGGAGCTGTTAATGAGTTGCGTTAATTGCGTTTCTTTCAGTTCATGAGAAACCAATGTATCGAGTTTTTGAACATAGCCAAGTTGTTTTAAGTGATTTTCAATGCATTTATGTGATACCTGAAGCTTCTCTGCAATCTCACGTGTTGTAACGATCCGAATCGATTATTGCTTTGATTAGGTCGTCATCAACTTCAACTGGACGACCAGAGCGGTTTTCATCTTTGAGTGAAAAATCACCAGAAGGAAATTTGGCAAACAAATTTTGACACTGCCGTTCTTTTATGGCTTCGTCGCCATAAACAGCACATAACTTTTTGTAAGCTTGCCTTGTAAGTCTTTCCCTTTGCGAAAATAAAAAAGCAAAATATGAAGAAAATGTTCCTTCCATTTTTTAACGAACGCCAAACGAAAACTACGCAACCGATCAAATTTTTTTTTACTGATTTCCAGCTGAATTGCCAACTATCAAATAACAAAATGTGTTTTACATTTGGACTACGCCAGCAAACCTAAAAATTCAACTGAAGCCATCTATGAGTGAAATCCGCATTTACTTAGTTGCCAATCCAATATAATATAATATATGCGCCTATTTTATATACTTGTATTTATTATAGCTTTTTATATATCTGTGAGCTATGAGCTTTTTTTAAATGCCTATTCCTAACAATTTTAAAACAATTCAATGAAGAATGTTACATTTTCTGCATAGAATATTCTTAAGATATCATTAAAAGGTGCAAATTGCAATAACATGAATTGAAATTGCGTTCTTGGATCTCAAAACAAAATAAAAATTGACAAAACTTTTAATTTGGATAGTGAAATTTGCTTGAATACCTTCCAAAAAAGTACCTACCTACCTATCTGGTTTACTGTATAGCAGCATTATGAAATATTTAAAAATAAAAATTCCAGTTTTATATTATTATTATTTTAATTTTGATAGTTGTCCTGTACTTAATCGATTAAGGCATTATATATGCCTATTTCACTTTAATTCCTACACACTTAATCCACATTATCTAGTGCTGTAAAATTTCGAATATAAATATTTATTTTTCGCTATAACAGCTTTCTGCAACTAAATCTGTTAAGTGCAATATTGCACACGAAAAGCTTATTCCATGTTTACACGCAACAATTAAAGGTGTGTAAATACGAATATAGTATAATATATTTGTAGAGGAGCTCAAATATTTTAGTAGTATTTATACAGTGAACTCGTTTATTTCCATTTACGTTATTCTAAATAATATTTTTTGTTGTTTATTTATGATTTTTGTAAATAAAAATAATTAATATGTGTATTTGAATCATATTCGAACAGATTTTGGTTTAAAAGTATGAATTTTTACGTATGGTTCAATGTTATTTATGTTTTATCGAAATATTATTTACACATTTCCCTTGAATGAAATCTGTTTTATGTAGAGATACAAAAATTATAATAGTAAAATATGATTAATTTACGTAAATTGACGACATGAATAAAAAAAACTGTAAATTAATTTATGGTTAAGTTTGAAATAAAATTGCGTGTTTTTTATTTAAAAATTGAAATATATTTTGGGTTTATGATTAAGTGTCACCTACTATTTTTTTTTTACTACAATATTTTCATGTTTATTTTTTTTATTATTTTTAATATCTTTTTTCATCTAATATAATTTTTTTTGAGCGAAAATATTTATTATCGTTAAATTATTAAATAATATTTCTTTCATTTTACATTATTTACAGCAGTTTTATATTAAAAGGGTTTGAATATTTAATAATATGTCTTTTCCCTAACGCAATAGTCAACTGCACCCATTGAAATAATAAAAAATATGTTCAATCTAAGCACTTTTATATTCGTTCCCATTCTGAGTTAGCACTTTTGGGCTATACGTGGATAAAATTGGCAGCTAAAATCACACAGCAAAAACAAAAGAAAACCTTTGCACATCAGGTATAAAAAACCAAACCACGTTTCCTTACGCATTCAATATGTAGTTGTAGCACTAGTTACTAATAGTTATGAAGTAAGTCTTAAATTTGTTGTACTAGCTTAATTCTAAGTTGGTGTCGGTTTTTCTTTTTTTGTGGACGTCTCTGACTCCCCTACATTGGTGACTGTAGTTAACAAACACTCGAAACACTTTTCAAACACAACAATACTAAAACTTTTGATTGCTTTGAAATTTATTTAAACATTATTTTTGTAATAATTTATATTTCTTTCTCTTTTTTTCTCTCATACAGCCGACTATGCACACCGCTTGCCATCTTATGCCGTGCCAATGCCCAACCGACTGCCCACACAACTGTCCATGAGAGCGCCCACAGCAGCGCCGCGTACCCATCTACCGCCCAGTAATTTTAATAACAATAATAATAGCAACAACAACAATAACAACTCACACCCCCTATATCAAGTTAGCAAATTAAATGCATTACCTACATACGGCGCTGATAATCGACCAGCATTGCCGCCATCGAATGTCAAACGCAAGGCTCACGATCTCGAAAATAGACTAAACTTTCAACTGCCCAACGCTGCTGATCATCCGCCCAATAAACATTTAGTCGCTCCGCCTGTTTACACGGCACCCGATATTGCGCACAAGCGACCTATGCCGACACCGGCCTCTACGTTCGCACGTCTGGCTACGCCCGAAGTGGATGAGACGGAGATGGATATGCGTGGCGCTAGAGCTTTACCACCCGATGCGGGCTCGGATCATTCGGGTGGGAGTAATGAAACTGTACTGATCGACGATGTTATCGTGTATGCGGATGCCTGAGTGGAATGAGTGTAAATAATATAATGCGATTCTCCTAAAACTATGCTGTGATGAAAGTGACAGCAAAATGTAAAAAATATATTCGTCCAAACTCGCTTTAAGCTGCTGACCTAATAGCAAACTTTTGAGCGTGATATTATGTCCCAAAAATTAGTATACTAATCATGCTTCCGTATAAGTGTTTAGACTTTACGAGGGCATTAGCACACATGATGTTATTGAGAAGACTAGTCTAAGAGGGTAAACAATAGCAACTGTGTGGACCATTTTTTCATTTAACTATATTAATATACTCCTATGTATATATGTACTAAAAAAATTATCACAAAGTATTTAGTGAAATATGTATTTAAGCAGACGAAAGTATTCTAATGAGGGAGAAATATTGTTTGTCTATATATTTTGTTTACAGGTCGTTATGTATCCGTAAGTCTTAAAATGTGTAATTAAAACTGTTAAAGAACATAGTTTTATAAAAATTTGGTGAGCGCTTCGTATTTACTTTTATATAAAAAAAACGTTACAACTCAAGAAAGCGATTAAAATACTGGCTTTTTATTTTTCCATTTACTAACTTTGAATTATTCCTTTTTTTCACAAAATAACACAGACATTTCAACAAAAAGGTACTTAATCACGTTATATATATTGTAATTTTACTAAAGGAAAACTGTTATTGGATTATATATGCATGTCTAAGGAATATCATAACACTATTATAAATCACAAACAACATATAATAGGAAAATAATGGTGGAAAGAGAAACATCACTTAATATTTTTACAACCCGTGGATTGATTTTACAGAACAAGTGGAACACTTACTACTATTCTGACACTTGTATAAGTTAATTGCCATGCAGTGAATACAAAATCTTCACACATTTTGACTGAATTTCCAAATTATAGATTTTCTGAACAAGTGGAACACTTATTATCAGTGATTGTATTACCTTTCTAATAAATGCGAAAAATGTAAACATAAAAAATGTGTATACAATTGAATATATATATTAGTATACAAAAAAGAACATTCTAATGTTGGCATTTTCGAACGCGCACACACCTATGGCTTGTGATTTATTAATTATAATTTATATAACAATATAACGTAAAGTAAGACGAAAGCATCATGTAGTATGTGTTTGTATATATAATTATATATAAGAATACCTAACGATCAAACTATTTTGCTTTATAGACCGTAAGTAAAATAACATTAAAGATATACATGTATACTACCAGCATACAATTGCAAAATTTTGCTATAAAATTGTAAATTTAAAAAATTATATATAAAAAATAGAACGATGAACAACGAGGCTTATGCCAGTGTACATATGTATTTAGTTTGTATTTAATATTTTATTAATAATTGATAAGTTGTTAAACTGATATAAAAAAAATCTATTATATATAGATATGCATATTAACAAATTTTTATTGCGATAATATTAAAAATTATTTAACAAAAATAAATAAAACTCGAAAACTTGTTTGATGTAAAATTAAAATGTGTGTTTTACTCATCAATGCGGTCACTTGGTATGCTGTTAATTTAAAAACCCCCCACAAATAGATATTTAATGGCCAAAAATGGCGACAAAAAACTGTTTTTTTTGCAAGAGAAAAACTTTACCTAATTTAACTCAGGTTGTAAACATACTTTCAAACCCCATATCAGCTAATTTTAAGTTTGTTCTGGACTAGTCCAAATTAACTTGGAGTATAATTGAATCTGTAAACAATCGTTTTTTTTTTTGTTGTAACGGGTTACTGTAATTTGTGCTGATATTCATGTGTATTTTGAATATTATATGACAATTATATCCCTTTTATATATTATATGTCGATTACAACTGCCGCCAAACAACCGTATACCTAAATTTGTATTACGCATGACAACAGATTAGTGATCATAGTGTAAATGATCGCCATTTTTGCTGAATTTGTAGCGCTATCATCTCATTTTATAGTTTAACTAACCAACACCGGTGTGATATTTTGTGAATTTTAGAGGATAAAAACTTCAAATATCTTTAAGGAAACTTTATTTAATTTCCAATTTAATAATTTACGAAAATTAATATCCAAAAAATCGTTGCTCTTGAAGCACTTGCGAAAAAATATTGGCTATTAGAACATCAACTATACACTAGTCGCTTTACATAAAGCTATTTATTTACTTAAACGTTGATTTGGCGATTTTTACAACAGAAAACCAGCTGCTTTGGAACCAAGGAAGCTGAAGATCAAAAGAAGCTCACAACATATGTACATCTCATCTCTTCAAACTTAAAAGAAAGGTCTCTAAAGTCACATATCTGCTCCGAAGAAAAATCTATCGTCAATCTCGACCGAAGCTTCTAATATACTCAAAAAGGACATCAAACTTGATATAGGAAATCCCATCCGTGGCTTAAACCAACAACTGAATATTTGATTTGTCAATGCCAACTCTGGAATTCAGAGTTAGTCAGGGCTGTTGTCGTATCCAAGACAGATTTGTGTGGTTGTCAGAATTGCAAACCAATTCTGATTCTCAATTTTGTCACAGAATCTGATTGGATTTTCGTCTTTTCGAACATATGCAAAACCAATATCATCAATATCAATATCGAATCAGTTGTTTACTATTTTGACAAAACTTGCAAATAAATAAATTTCGAATCGTTCGTTCTGAATAAAGTCTACTTATGTTTAAAATAACAAAGTTACGCTATTTTAACTTATATTTCATTGGAAGAAAAAAGCAACGAAAAATTAAAAGAAAGATATTAAAAAATCAAGTGATCCACCTGATGTACCAGGGGAGTCGCATGAGAAATTTGGATTGAATTTACTTGTATGTTTGTATACATGCCTACTTTACAGATTTATATCACATTATCGTCTGAATAAAGACGCATTTGGGTGTTAAATAACGTTTATTACGTTTTGTAAATCCTTTTAAAATATCTGGATTTTTTCCATAGACTCAATAATTGCGAGATTTTGTGTTTTATTCTTATGTTTTCCCCTATAGAAACAACGATAAATTAATTCGTAACAATAATATAAATTATTTTCTTAACTTACAAAACCGGTAAAATTGGTTGCCGTGATACCCAAAACTGATACAATTTCTATGACACGTCGAACCAATAATATCTGAATTCCTACCACATTTTTCTATCGGTTTCAATTCTACACTCCTGAGTGTTTCACTACTTTACAGTACTGTATCATTTATCACTCTCATGTGATATACTGCCCAAAAGTAGCTGTGAAATATAATATATGGTATACAACTCAAAGATAGATATTAAATCACCGTATTCAATTCCGATCTACTTTTTTAAAGATTGCACACGCTTTTTATCAAGAAACTTTAAAAGGACTTTTATTAGCTAGCTATGATTTGAAATAAAATTTCCTTCCTTTTTTTAGTGGTGGTTTCGCATTTTTACCCGCCACGTTCTCGTTAGTAATATTACAAATATACTTGTTAGCCGTTATTCATTGATTAACAATTTCATAAAGTGATTTTTATATCTACGCATAATCTGTGCCCATTTTCTGCTGGTTAACCTTCTCTAGTACTTAGCAGTAGCCAACCAGAAACCAGTCAATATATTGTTAAGAGCAGTAAATTCGTGAAACTTTAAAACCACTATATATTTTTTTTATTATTATATTTCGCTACTAGTTTAAGTGACGAATACTAACTCACACCAGTCACCGCATAAATATAAAGCTTTGGTCCAGAACGACGCCATAGAGACTGTGAACGAATACACAGATAAATCGGAGTCGTTGAGATACTGCGAGCATTTTAGATTTGCATGCGACACAATGAGAAACGATCCAAATGACGTGACGCTAAATGTGGCGTTCATTCATTTAACACACGCTACATACATATGTACATATGTATAAGAATATTGGATATACCATATATCAACAGTCTGGGTAAAAAGTAGTTATAACATTTGAAACAAATCAAGAAGTAGCAGAAAATAAAATTAACATGAAGTAAAAATCCCATACAAACGTCCGCAAGTAAGAAGATGATATGTGAGATTAGGAAAAAGTTTTATCTACGTATGTTTCTAATAAACTTTATAGAAGTGATTAGCCGAGCATAAAATCATGCGAAATCATAAAGTACAAAATCATTTGTATAAAATATCTCACATAACACTGCGAGAGCGCTGAGCAAATATGGTATAATTTTCAAATTGTCATAACGTGTTACGACTTAAAGGTGGGTGCTGAGCCGAATATGAAGAAACGAAGATTCATGGCTTCACTATTTCTCTTTTTCTAAGCGATACAATATATTACTACTTGTATATTAATTTGCGTATGCAGTTTTGAAAAACCTCTGGTTGAAAGAGTGAGTGATTATTGTCGAAAAATTTTCATATTAAATCATCAACGTCTGAATACTTTCGTCAAAATCATGATCATTTAAAAAGTGAAGGGCCGAATTACTAGCGTATTAATCAAAATCATTTATATGGATTGATCAAGAAATGAATAGATTATTGAACTCATTAATTGTTCGTGGTTATGCCAAGTTTGGAAGCTCTGGATCGTAGGATCTTAAAAATACTTTCAAATTAAAAAAAAGACATTTAAATTTGAAATCCCAAATATTCGAAGATAGAAAAATTTTCGAAAGAAAAATATTTAACTGAAGGAATAGGAGAAATCAGCTCCAAAAATTCATTGAGTCCTTAGAGATATTCTTTACACATTCCTCAACACTGACTACTATTTACTACTAATATCTTCCATAAATAACAAAAAACCGTCGTCAATGATATTTAAGGATCAGATTTCCTGAATTCTGTGTGATTAATTACAATATCATAAATAGCTTAAGGCAAGTGAAGAAACACAGGTGATGACAGTACCCTAAGCTCTAAAAGAAACGAAGGCAAGTTTGTCAAAAATAAGTGCTTACCCTTAGAACTCTTATGTTTCAAATTTAAAACGATTTCACAAACGGGGTCATAAAATTAATAAAAATATTATCTTAAGCCAGTATTCTTAAAATTGAACAAATTTAAAACTTCTTTGTATTATTTTTGGAACTTGTTGCACAGGGTACTGTATAAGTATGTAGACTAATAGACAGCATAGTCTTAATACAAGGTGTTTAGCAAGTTTTTCAGAATCACAGCACTCAGCAATATTTTATTGGAAGGCACAAGTGTTTAATAGCTTGAGTGGCGGCACAAATTTCCAACTACATACTAAGTACTTATTGCTATTGCTTATAAATAAAGTTTGCAAAAATTTAGGTTCGGCTTAAATCGTTTTTTTTTTTTATACCCAGCGCATGTTGAATTTAGGATAAATCATACTATGCCAATTAGTTTTTATTGTGATGTAGCGTGATTTTACATAATTTATATTCCCTTACGATTGAGGAACGTCGGCCCGACCATATCGTTTCGGTATCTCCAATGAAACAAGAAGAGAATTTGACAACTTGTATATTAACCTTATATACGACACTACTACTATCGTTTAGTAGATCACTATTGTTTGAGTAAAATAAATCAATTAGTTGATTTCCG